ACGTCGGGCAGGTGAGTTTGGTCACTTAAGAGACAGGATTAGCTGTTGTCCAGCAGCTAACTCCTTATTTTCTCTGAGAAGTGAATTCTTTGTTAATATCTTACAGCCACTGAGTAAAGTTTTCCCAAGAGTCCCTACAGCTTGGCTGGGAAGATAGGTCAGTTTATCCATCTCCTCGTTGGGTTTCCCCATTCTAAAACCCCACCGCTGTGGAGGTGAGGAGGCGAAGGACAGAAGTAGGGGAGCATCTGCGAAGGTGACTTGGTGGTGTGTCAGGTGAAGGAGTGAGGCACAAGGATGCAGCTGATCTCATCTTGACAGATGAATGGACAGATTCTGATTTCCCTGAATGCCATCAGTGCAGCCTTGCTGAGGCTTATTACTGGATTGCCTTTCCCAAGTCAGAGCCAGTCTCCTCTGCAGCGATGACTAGGACTACTCATACACATATGGTATATCTGCCTTGCTCTTTTTTGGTGCCAGTGATTAGTGGAGAATAAAATAAGATGAGTCCTTGCCTCACAAGGGAAGTCTATGGAGCTGTCATGTCAAGCCTGCTGGAGATGCTGTGCCTCAATTTTTTTTTCCCATTGAAAAATGTTGTGCTTTGCTGAAGTGAAAATACTGCCAAGAGTACTGACTTCAGTTAAGTTTCTCTGAGTGAACAGTTCTTTGCAAAGGCCTTTTTTTTGGTTGGTTGGTTTTCTTTGTTTGACTTCCATGTTTGATTTATTTTATTTTTTTTTTAATTCTAATGTAGAAAGTTTCAGTTGTTGTAGAGGTCTCTGTGACAGTGTGATGGTATGGACAATGTGTAACTTCACATTAAGATTACAAATTTCTGCAGAAAAATAAAGCAAACAAGATGGCCCTCAAACTGGAATTTTGACATGCAAATTCAGTGAAAAGTTTTTCTTCCATTTTCCAGGCGTTATCAAAATTAATTTTGTGTTGACACCTGAAAGACTTAAACCATTTCACTTCACTGCCTGAATTTAGCTGCTCGTGGTAAGCGAAGATCTTAGGTAGATTACTGTGGTGACCTTTTCATTGCAGTCTTTGGTACCAAATCTGAGGGGAACACATATCAGAAGACTCATTTTGAGATGTATCCTGAGTGTGGAGACTCAGCATGATTCTCCTGTCTGGCCAGCAGAGTGGACCTGTCTCAGAGCCAGAGCCCCACTCGGGTTCCCTGTCAGGTTGTGAGTGGGGCTGCACCCAGCAAGCCCAGGATGGAAAGGCTCTGGAACCCAGGAGAGGAAGACCATGGGTTTGCAGGACTCTTGTCCTTAGCCCATGGTGCAGAGCAGGGACTGCTCGTGAGCTGTTGGAAAACATGACCTGGCTGCAGTGGTGTGTGTGGCTCCGTGTGTCTGTAATCACCGTCACGCACAACAGCAGAAGAGCTCTTTTGTGCTGAAGAGAACGTATACGTGATGGGCTGGGTGCTATAAGGGTTGAGTTAGGAGGTCAATGTTATCTTTCCTAGGCAGAGAACAGCTTCCTAATTGAGTATGAGTAATCACTTTAATAACCAAGAATAGCACCAGGCCCTCTATGTGAGCCAGATATATTTACAGAGTAACTCGTGGTGACTTTTTTATTACATGGTATTGACGTCATTTTTCTTTCTTTGTTAGGACTCCAATGACTACAAGTCTGACTGCTGCAGTGTCATGGGGAGAGCAAAAGGGAAGGGAGATCCAATTTTAAAATCCATTACAGAAAGCTGGCAAAAGCTAAATAATGTCATGGGTTTAGTGTCCTTTCGTTGTATGTTCACTATATGCTTCCTCACGTGGGGAGAGACGGAAGTACCAACAGCCCCTAGAATGTCCTGTACAGCGGTGGGATGGCCTGGAGGGCTATGGGGTGGGATGCTGTAAGTGCATTGCTCATATAGACCCAGATGTTGCTGGTTTCTATATTTGTGTGGACAAAAAAACGTTACAAATTACTCTAAAAGTTTTCTGAGGGCTGCAGAGTTTAGGAATGTGTGAAGAATTATAAGGAAAACTAAAATGCATGAGGTATAATATAAGAAGTGTGGTTGCTGGCTGTCCCACAGCGTGTGGGGTGGCTGCCAGAAACACACCTACCAGCACACTGAGATGTAGCTGGGTCTCTGTAGGCAAAATTCCTAGTTCTATCAAAATCCTCAAGAACTTCATTTTTTCCTGTTTTGTACCAAAAATGGTATTTCTACTGTGTAAACAAATACAAAACAAATGAAGAAAATATTAATGGAAACAATAAGTTTTCCTCTGTTTTGAAGTATAATATTTGCTGTGACTGAAGGAACAGTAATGCTGGTGCCATGTCGAAATTTTACATTTTGGTGAATAGATAAGACAACAATTCTGATTGTACTGAAATGCTGAGTTTTGCCTGTTTTAGAAAGTTACCCAAGACACCTCTTAAATCCTGGTACTGAAGGGACCCTGGGGGACAGAGTAAGCAGAGATGACGACTTGCTTTTGAAGCTATATGGCAGGATGCTATATGGCAGACTCAACCAGTGCTGGCAAACTGAGCTGGCAGGCGGAGGAGATGGGTCAGGATCTCACGTGTTTTGACTGCCGTTTATCAAGGTTCTGTTTGTTTCATATTTATCCTTTTTGAAACGACAGGACAGGGAAGAATGGGTTCCTGTCCCCATCTGAAACAAAGCACTGCATCAGACGTATCCTGACGTATTTCCTTCATAATAAATTGAAATGACTTTAACCTATATGCCAAAGGAATAATTTGAACTAAGTGGTTACTTAAAACCTTTTGGGAGATGCAATAATTAGGTTTCTTTTTGTCCATTTGTTTGATCTCAAAGCCTATTGGTTGTATTTTACCATCTTCCAGGATATTCTTTCTGCATCTCTGACAGGCAGCTGTCCCAGCAGCCTGCAAGGTGTTTTGTTCTATGGAAGAACTCCAGAGCAGGGGCACAGGAGAGGTGGCTTGGGCTTCTAAATTGAAGTTGGAGGTCAGTTCTTAGGAAGAGGTGGCTTGATCGGAAGCTCTAGACCCTTACATTTGCAGAATGCAGCAGTCTGTAAGTCACCAGATTCCAGAGTGCCCTTAGAAACATCAGTTGAAGGCTTAAGCTGCAAATAGTGGCCAAATTCTGACCGTTTCCACTCTCAGATAAAAACACCCTTTTGACTGGAGTAAGTTTTGCTGGTGAAACTATGTCTAGTCTATACCTATTGAAGTAATAATTCTGGTAAACACTGAACCAGGCCAGGATAGTGGGTGTTCCTTTGCAGTGCAAACCTGGCATCACGTCTAGGAAGTCTGAGTCAGTATTATTACAATCTTTTCTTTGAATCCAAGTAACCACAATGGCATCACTTGCGTTTGACTTATTATTAATAGCACCGTGGTGGTGGCATTATCCGTGGCTCTCTGGAGACACAACACAAGGGGCAATCAACAGTCTGAAGTGCTCAGAAACTTACCCCATTTTTTCCACTGGATTAACAGGAGCAAACACACAAACGCTTTATTAAGAAGGTGCACTCATTTCTTCGGAGTCATGATGGAATTTTGATAGAATTTTGATAGAATTAAAAATACCATTAATATTTATATCACTTAATGTTACTGGGAGTAAGTACATTTATTTATTGAGCTGCAAATCATTTAGTTCTTTGTAATTACAGTACTGCTATTAAGTATTCATAAGGCTGTACAATATAGTGTCACAGGAAACCTATTTTAATTTAGTGGTAAGTCAATTTTTAAATTTTGTGTAAAAACAGAAACTAATGTACCAAGCAGTGTCGCTTGTGTTTTCCCAGCCAGGTTTTGCAAGCCTTTTTCAGTTCATTGTTTATAAACTGCTTTTTGTAGCTTTGAAATTTTGGAAGTTATCACGTAAAGTCTTAGGTCCAGCGCAGCTTATATGTGTGCATGCTATAACATGTAATTTTGAATGTAAACATAGACTGGAAGGGGACACTTATATCGCAGTGCTCAGCTCCTCGTTGTCACCAGAATTGCAACATAACATATTTTCATAAACTTAATAAAAAGTTAATCTTGGAGAGCAAGTTTCAAGAATGTTGCCTGTATTAGTAATTTATGTTGCTTGCATTTGTTTCTAGAAATAAGACTATTTCAGCTGTGAGAGTCTTTGAAAACATATATAGATGGATTCCTCTGAGGTCATTGGGGGTTTCACTTGCAGAAGGACGGGATGGATTGGCCAAGGTGTTTCTGGTACAGTGCTTTCAGTTCGTGTTTTTTGAAATTATTTCCCTACTTAACTCATATGTGGCAATTAGAGGGAAGGAGCTGCTACCATTTTGGGGAGGCATTACACAGAATGGGATTTTTCAATGAGCGGCATGAGATGTCTGCAGTCTCAGATGGGATCTATAGCCTGTGCGTTGTTTCTTATGACTTCTCCCTGCGCTGCTTCTCCTGGCCCCTGTGGAAACTGGATATTTGTTCAGAAGAGCCTTTTCCCCGTGCCAGTCCTTCAATATTTTACTACCTTGCTGCAGCTGAAACAATCCTCTGGGAATCTAAATCCCAGAAGTTCCCAGGAGAAGTGATGATCACGGAGCAGATTTAAGGTTGATCATAGCTTCTAGGTGAAGAGCTAGAAGCTCATAAAAGGGGTAATGTTTTTGTTCTTTTCAGTAGAGCCAGTGTCCCACTGGGACCTTGAAGCACTCTGTTATCCCTAGCTTATGCATGAATGGGTGGTGTACATACAGCTACAGAGGGTTATCTGTCACTTCAGCTTGATTTCATGCCTCCAGGCATGCACCTTAACGTTGTGAGATACAAATATGTCCAGGTAGATAACAGAAAGTTGTGTTTTGACAGCTCTATGCAATGGTCATTTTGACGTGTCTACATAACTCCTGTTTTCAAGAGAAGCCAGGCCAGAGGGGTGAAATGCAGTGCATGGGTGTCTTCAGTGGGGTAAACGTGCACCTGTGAGAGAGCCTTTCATTTATAGCTGTCCTTTCTAACTCTCTCCACTGCAGGACGAGGTCTCTTCTATGGACATTGAACTCCCAGCAACCTATGCCTGTTGCCTGTGATGGAAGAACTTGATGTTAATGTGAGGTAGGATAAACTACTCAGCTCCTACCGTACCGTGTCTGGTGAGCTGCGGGGGGGCAGTGGCCGTACAGTGTGTTTGCAAAGCTGCAGGATGGTATTTTCTGTTTGCCTGTAGGTGAAGGGCTCTGCTCATGCAGCAGTGACTGGTTTTTGGGTTTCTTGGAGCTTCCATGAGGATGTAGTGTCACTCTACTTGTGTAAATGTCATATGTGGCATAGCCAAGAGAAGGACTTCCTTGCAGTAGGATGGACAGGACCTCATCAAAGACCAGGCACAAGACCATCTGTGCCTGCTGAAAGTCTGATCCTAGGTTTTTTTCTTTTTGGTGTAATGGTCTAAAAACTCTGCTGCCTTATACTGGGGCAAGCAAAAAAATGACATCTCTGAAGTAATTTCAAACTCATGGGCACACTACTGGGATCAGTGAGAGAGAAATTTCAGTATGGATCATTTTGATCCTGGAAGTGTGATGCCAACATGAATTGTTCAGAAAGGCTGGAGGGAGATCCTGTTTGTAGCTGTTCCCGGGGAACAAAGCTGGTATCAACTCTGCCATTCTCCCTCAGGTGTGATCTGCAGGGCTCTTCTGTAGGACTAGGATTTGTCCCTTTTGTTTCTTTGGCTTTTGACTGGCCAGGCTGCCGATGATGCTGAAAAGTGGGAGGAACAGGGTCTTATCATGCAACCATGTCATCACAGCTTTCTAGCCCTTGGGCTTTCAGGTTGGGATGTGCCTCTGGGCAAGCCACAACCCACTCTCTCCAGTTGCATGCACAGAGCGAGAAAATACATTTTCAAAGACAATTTCTGTTCTTAATGAGCCTCCTCAAAGTGCTATACTATCAGAGAGAACATCTCCAGTCTTCATTCACCTACTAAAGTGTTGGGAAAGTCACCAGCAGCTCTGGGTTGCTGCTTTAATGCACACTTAGCAGGTCACATTTATAACCCGGTAATCAATGCTGAGAGGTAATGTGTTTTGCTTAATGAAATTTGTCTTGCCTTTTCAATACTAGCAGTGTGGTTAAATGCGTAGGCTACTGCTGTTTCTCTGTAGAGGGAATTAAGGTGCTGACACCAGGCAATTTTCCCTACAATCTTTTCCTCCCTTTAAAAACACTAGAAAGAAATCTTTTATTTCTCACTATGGTGAAAAAAAAAATCCCCCACTATACATTTAATCATTCATAGAAGGAAAGTCTGTTGTAGCCAGAGTATGTTTTTACATACCTCCTCTGTTAACCTTCTGCAGAAAATGCCCATTGCACATGCCCAGGAAAAGATTAATTTTTTTTTTTTTAGAAAGAGTCCCTCAGGAGACTGTTTTCTCCTGAAGGCTGGTTAGTGCCGTCTCTAGTGTGGTCTGACTCTGGCAGGGCAGTGGAAGCATCTCTGAGGAGGAAATTCTCATTTGGTGAACTGTTTCATCCACCGTCCTTTTTAGATGTTAAAAGGCAAGGCAAGGTAGTCCTAGGGATCTGATGAATGAAAATCCATGGGAATTTGAAAGCTCTCCTGAATCAATATTGATCCATCGTTCCCCAGCTGTTTTGATCAAACACTGTGGTCAGATCTCACTTCATTACACTTCATGAATGATTTCATTCTTTTGTTCCCAGAGGCTCTTTCTGAGCTGGGCTAGCGCAGTCCTTCACTTTGTGTGCCTGTTTGCATACACAGACTTTGTGGTAGGCATATGTTTTTATTTTGACTCCACGCTTTTCTAAACCATGAATTTTTGAGTTTGAGAGCTTTGCTTGTCAGCTACCAGTAAGTAGCTCATGTCTCTCCTATCTGCCCCGATTTCAGCTTTTTTTTGCCGAGATGTGAAATATTGAATGTTTTCTGTTGAAACAAGGAGCTTCCACCCACAATTTTCCAGAGCCACACAGTGAGCACTCAGATCCCTGTGGGGCTCAGGGTTGCTCCAGTGGGAAGGTCACATGAGAAGGGGAGCAAAGCTTGGGGAAACGGGAGGTGCTTCAACAACCTGGGGACAACAGCAGGATGGGTGGGGAGAGGGGCAGGTTGACTTTGTTTTGAGCTGAGCCCTGTGGAAACAGCATGTCACCCTTCAGACCAGAGGAGCAAGTGCCACAGTTGTCCTGCTCCGGCCAGCTGGGATGGCCATGGGCACAGGTCTCCTGCCCTCGACAGGTTTCGATGAGGTGCCCCAGAGAATGCCAAGTGATGGGCGCCTTTACATGTCTGTAGCTACCTGAATCATGGCAGGCTGATTCAACTGTACAAATGTTTTATTTCTGTGGAAAAATTTGGTTATGAATTTTTCAAGGGCTGGAGTGTGAGGTTAGAGAGACATTCCTGAAAGCTGTAGACAGTCTGCGTCGGGACTTGTATTTATCACAGCTGAGGAGGGTGGCAAACCTCATTTTCTATAATTGTAGAGTTGAAAAATAAATGACCTCCCAAGTATTTCCGATTTATATTTTATAGATTTTTTTTTTTTAATTTTGTGTGACTTGGTGATTGTTATTGGACACATTTATTATAGGCAGTAGGCTAATGAGATACTGTCAAGTGCTTTGGCATGAAGTCTCCAACCCTTGAATTGGTTAGATTATGGAAAAAAGAGTTGTTCTCTTTATTCTCTTCATTTCAAATAACTTTATATAAATACTAGAGTAGAGTGGTCCCTCCCACTGCCTGGCTCTAGCACAGCAGACACATAGTGAGCTGTAGGCTGTTTGCTGCTGATGCCCTATGGCCAAAGGGCAGGAGCTCCTGCAAATGCCTTCACGGCTACCCTCGGTGGCACAAACCTCCTCTTGAAGGTTGTGATGTACCACTTTGAATCTTCTGTTTGGAGTCGGAGCTGGTGCAAGGGTTTGAGCAAGGAGGCGGCTGCCCTGCCTGCTCATGTCAAGGTATTTGCCCATGGTTCTGGTAAATTAGTACAAACCTTCAAAACGTGTATGTACTTCTCTTTATCAGGGTTGGTTTTGGGTTTTTTTTCCTGTTTTTTGTTGTATTAGGTAATTTCGCTTTCATACAAACACAATGATTTTGACAGCCCCGGAGAAAGTAGAAAAAGGCAGAATCTCTTTGGGCACAAAAAGGAAAACAGGCAGAGAGATAGCTTTGGTGCTGTTTTACTGTGCCTGTGCTTGCATTTCGTGCAGAGCTGCAGTCAGGTGAATCCCCCAGTCATCCCTACACGCAGTGTATCAGTTCAGATCACGTAGCACTTAGCAAGGGGACTTGTGAACGACATTCCTCTTGGATGATGCTAAACCAGCAGCTCTGGACCATGTGCTCTGCAGTCTGCAATAAGGACTAAAGGTTTTGAATCGTGAGTTCAAACCGTGCCGCTTCCACACTCAGGTGCAGTGGGGACATTCAGGCAAGGAGACTGGGCTAAATCTAGTCCAAAATATTCCCCATGTCCTGTATAGAGTGGAGATGGAGGGGCCTCAGTACCATCGGCTTTGATCTGCTCCTGTTGTGCCAAATTTTCTGCTAAAATAGACATAGCTTGTGCGTACAGAAGCCACCCAGGAGTCCACAGACTCTTGTTTTTCTGTGTACAAACCAGGCAGCTGGCACTTACAGAGAGTGTGTAGGTACACAGTAACTTTGCCTGTGAAAATTGTGAGAGGAGCTTCCATGTACCAGGAAGCTTCCATGTACCATCTGCACCTGCAGATCTCACTGAGCAATCTGGAGAAGCCCAAACAGGAAGGACTCTGCTTCTCCTGGGTACTACCAGTGCCATGCACAGGGAGTGAGAAATGGCCTTCTTAAAGACTATTAAAGCCTTCCGAAACCTTTGGTAAGACTTTCATCATTTCCCTACAGAGCATTCCCTGTAGCCAGGAATGAAGTAAAGCTTCCTATCACCACGCCAATCCCTCCTTATCTGGTAGCAGCTAAATCTGACTCCTTTACGTTGCTGGGAGCACAGGTAATTCAGTTCTATGCTAGTTCTGGATGGCGTGGTTGGCCATTTTCGTGCATTTTCCCTTCTTTGAGCTCCAGCACTCATTGTTGATTCATTCATCCCATTGCTAAGGGTGCTGCATGGCAAGCCCAGCATTTCTAGCTCCTGGGCTGCTCAATTTTAGCTCTAATTTAGCTCAATTTTTTAGCACCGTAGAGGTCAAATGCTGCTTTCAGTGGACTGCTTGGAGATGCTCTGCTGACACAGTTTGAAAACCATTGGCTCAAGCTTTTTGAAAGAGCTTTTGGCACAGTCAGGCTCTAGTGTGGTTCACAACAGTGCAACAGGTTGGGAAGTTGCAATTACTAACGAAAGGCAATCTTCTCAAAAGCTGCAAACTGATTTTCATGTACTGGCTGATGTTTCCATCATCCATGTTGCATGTTAAATATTGACCATATAGTTCTGTTTCATGCTTTTCTGTTAGCATTTTAACCCAAGAGACTGTGCTCTGGGCTTTGGGAGCCAGGTTGTTTTCTAGTTCTCACACCAAACTCTTTGTAGGACATTGGGCAAATCTTCAAGACTGATTAATTCTCCCCACTGTGACAACCAGGGTCCCATACAAGCACTAGCAGTCCTTGTTGCTCCTCAAGTCCGTAGCTGGGAGGGGAGAATTGGAAGGGCAGCTGCCTGGCATTTCCAGGCAGGCCTGGGCAAGCAAAGCTGTGGTTCTGCTGGCCGGAGCTCCTCTCACACCCTGGGGCAGCACAGCGAAACCTCTGCTATTTGACTGGAGGTTTCTGAGTGTGGTCAAGGCTGCTCTGTGTACTTCACACTGTCTAAAGGTTTCTTGCTTCCTCAGGTGTTGGGGAGAGGCTGTTATGTTCTTGAGAAATAAGCTTTTGAAAAAAAAAAGTCACTAGAACGTCCAGTGAAAGTAAATAGCTTTTATATCAGTCGTTTTATTATAGCTGTTGGTGAAAGCAAACTCCCTTTGCTAAATCATCTATGGAGAAACGATGTATTATTTGACTTTGTCACAAAAGTAATTGCTTTTTATTTTTAAGCTGAGCCCCCCAAACAACTGAATTTTAGATTGAT